ATAATTATAAAAGTTGGAGTTATTTTGAAACAGAAAATTAAAAATTAAAAATTTAAAGAGAAACAAAAAAATTGAGCCACATTTTGAAAAAAATGTTTTATACCAAAACTGAAAACCATCTGGAGTATTATAGCTACAGATTTCTTATGTTTAGTGACCTATAACGAAATGAAATGGAGAATATTTCTACCTTTAACCCAATCGACTTTAAATAAAGAAAAAGATTAAAAATTTGGCAATATTTGAGAAAGGCCAAAAACGACCAAAAATATTCTTATAACAAAATTGGCAATCATGTTTTCACCACATTTATTATGGTCACCGATATAATAAATAAGCTGTCACTGGAATAATTTTAACAGCTATCGGACGAGTGGCTTGCAAATGATAGCAGTCTAAATTGGTTGCAGTTTTTTCTTCTCACCGTGTATTTTACTTACATTTTTGTAACTTAAAAAAAATAATTAACTACCAAAAATTTCATATTTTTTATATATTCAAATGTTAAAAAATGTCTTCCCTTTTTAACTTTTTGACCCAAAATTTATCTAAACGATTCCCTCCCACCATAGCCAATACAATGCACATAAATATATATTTGTACTTATGCCTCTTAATGATTGCTGTAATATTTTATTATTATTATGCTAATCTTTTGTTTATCTCGAATTACCTTGATGTCTTTCAAATGGTTTCGCACCCAAGCACCTACTTATTGCTTAAATGCAAAACGAAACCAAATAAAATACCACCTTAATTTACTAATTAAACAATCAACAATATACGCCAAAAAAAACGAACAAATTTACAAAAATTTGTAATGAGATTGCGAAGACGCACTTCTTTGCATAAATAAACATAAATACAAATAACCACAGACACCGGACATTTCGCACAGCGTATTCAATTTGATGTGGCTTTACTGGCATGGCATTATTATTGTTGTTGTTAAAAAAAAACTTTGTTGTCTTTTGTGAAAAGCGAGGGTGTTATTGCAGGTACCTTTTGGTCAGTTACAGTTGACCGGTTTTAAGCTACTTACTCTTGTAGCAATTACTTGGTGTACAACTCCATTTGCCGGACTAGTTTCCATCAGATTTTGATTTTTGATGAATATCCGAAGTCTAAATACAAAATTCTGGGTATACAAAATTGTTGGTTGAATTAATTCCTTGTGCTGGTCCTGGCGACACTCACATATTTAAATGTACTTTCAAAATCTGCAAAAGAAAATAGTATGTTTCATTAAATATTGCAAGACATCATAAATGAGAATCAAAATAAATATTTATGCTGCTTTAAATGTCCTCGCAGAATTCCAAAAGCTTGAAAGCATCAATACCCTTTAATTTTGTTTACATTTGAACGGCGCTTAATTATGTTTACTTTACGTTACGTACAGCCACTAACTTTTACTGACTGCCTTTAAATCAGCTGTTTTGTTTTCTTTCAATGAAATGTGGTATACACTAGCAAACATACATGATTGTCGCCAAAACTATTGCTCAGAAACAATAACCAACTAGACAAACAAAACAAATACTTTTAAATAATTAAAATATTTATAAAACAATTTAAAAGAAGAGAAGTATTGCAGGGTTATCTGTTGTTAACATATTTTTGCAGGGTTATCTGTTGTTAACATATTTTTATTTTACTGCCATGGTACAATAAAACGGTAAGGTAACGTTACCAGCCGGTTACAATTTTTTTCTAAATTCTTTTGGAAAACAAAAACAAAATATTACCAAAATCAATGAGTGAAAGAAGCGTACATAGCATAGCGGACGAGAATTATAGATATTAACCAGTTTTACTATGTAATTGAGAGATAGACCAGTTTGGATCGTATTTTTTAAGAAATTCCAGGTATTTCATTCGCGGTTTGTAATCCATACTAAAAATAAGGAAATATATCAAATAATTGAAAACAACATTGTAGAATTAAGAAGGTAAAGTCATGCAATCATATGTTTACATTTTTTTCAAAATTATTAATTTCACAACATTTCATTGTAAAAATTTGTATTTGCAAATCTGTTGTATATACACAAATCAGAGATGGGAATCTGCTTTGAACGCAGTGAAATGTGACAAGGTTAATTACAGAAAATGCAGAGGTGGGAATGCTTTTTTGAAATGACTTTAACTTCTTAATTTTACCATGGAAAACAACTTGACGCATATAATTTTGAATTATTGTGACAGGAAGCGGACATAGCCTCAGGGATGTATTTCTGTAGTTTAACAAAGCTGTTCTACCTACTTATTGTACCTTGCTGCAAACAGACATTTTTTCGGAGCAAAATTAAGATGTGAGCAAAAATACAGGTAGATGCATCAACGCATGGTAGAAGAATATAAGTAGGCGCGTCGACACAGCTGCTGGGACAATGAACTGTCAAACCAATTTTGGAATTGAAAATGTTGAATGAAAAATTATATAAATTTGCAAAAATTGTTGAAAAACACGGATTATAATAACCTCCGAATGATGCTGTATAAAAAAAAAACATAAAAATCTACTTATATTTGAAAAAACATTTAATTTTTTGACACATAAATGCTCCCAAGCGTTGATGCATCTACCTGTATTCTTCTGCCATGCATCAACGCTTGGGAACATTAATATGTCAAAAATTTTTTAAATGTTTTTTTTTTTTCAAATATAAGTAGATTTCCGTAAGTTTTCTTATACGATGTCATTCGGAGGTTAATATAATTCGCGTTTTCAACAATTTTTACAAATTTAAATAATTTTTCATTCAACATTTTCAATTCCAAAATTGGTTTGACAGTTCATTGTCCAAGCAGCTGTGTCGATGCGTCTACCTATATTCTTCTACCATGGATTTGAGTACATAAACTGCTTTAAGTCTTCGAATGCCATATTTTGTGACATATATGATCTGTTCCGGAACCTGCAAGAATCTACGAGTTTTGCAATTTTTGTCGATATCGTAAAGGGAAAATCGGTTATCTTAGTAAAAACTTTTACATTCTTGCATGGTCTGTTCCAGAATCTGCAAGAATCTCCTACATTTGAAACTTTCTCCGATATCATAAAGGGAAAATCGATTATGGTAGTAAAAACTTTTACATTCTTGCAGTTCTGGAACAGACCAGCAGTTTTGGAACAGACCAATAATAAAGGGATACCAGAGCACTTGAATCCTGCCGTCGTTATCCATTTTTGGAATTCAAAATTATTTAAATTAGTGAAAGTTTTTTAAAATCACATTTCCTATCATCCTCTGAACGGCAGCGTATCAGAAGATTCTAAAATCCATGTATTTTTGGCACGATAACCGATTTTACCTTTATGAAATCGAAAAAAATAGCAAAAATGGTAGATTCATGCAGGTTCTGGAACAGAGCAAATGTTTGCATGCGCTGATGCCAAAAAATTTGTTGTAAAAAATAAGTAGATTTGTATGTTTTCTTATATGACACAAATCGAAGGTTGTTATATATTTTCAACAATTTTCATTTAAAATGTTCAATTTCAAAATTGACTTGACAGATCATTATCCCAGCAGCTATGTCGATGTCGACTAAATGTATTCTTCTACCCTGCTATTATGCATAAAATACATGTAAACATCACCTTAGAAAAAAAAAACAACACCCGCAATAATTCAATGTAAATTTATTTATTCTAGATAATAAAAAAATATGTTAATTCTTTCAACACTACATTACTTATTTCGAATTTCTAGTTTTAGTTTCAATTTCCCTACTTAAGCATTATCCATTGCCTCGATTTCGTATAGTAACTGTCGTTCTGCCTTAACCTTCTCATGTTCGTCCACTCCAATGCCAGCTCCCAGACGCTGTAAATCTCCATCGCCTGTGACAATTTCATTTTGCATGTCATGGGTCAACTCTTCGACTACGACTTCTTGTTGTTCCAAATGTTCCTGTTTAAATTGGTTTAACTGGTTATGTGTTTGCTGGTGTGGATGATGAGAATGATACAATGACTGTTGGCTCTCATCATACTCATAGTGTTCATCTGCTACTTGTGACAACTGGTGTTGTTGTTGCTGCTGTTGCTGTTGCAATAACTCCTGTTCCGCCTGTTGCTGTTCGTCGGTTTTATCTTGAAACAATTGTCGACCCAACTTTTTGCGACACTGCAACGACCTTCGATGGGCATCAAAGAAATCTATGTGATTGAATTCCAGGCCACATATGCGACACTCAAATTTACTTTGGTTTAGATGCATTTCTTTGCGATGCTGGGCCAATTTGTGGGTATCCTTGAAACGCATATCACAGAACGGACAGTCCAACAAACGTCGATCACCATAGTGGACATTTCGTACATGTTCATTCATGGAGAATTTTCTTAAGAACTTCTTGCCACAATGTTCACATTCATAGTTACGCTGTTGTTCGTGCACCAGCCGGCGGTGGTGTCTCAGCGAGGTATTTTGGGCAAAGGTCTTGCCACAATGTTCACAAATGTGTTCTTTGGCCAGATGACGTCTCTGTTCATGTACCTTTAAGTCCTGCTTGGTGCAATAGTACATTTTACATGGCACGCAAACATAGGGTCGTATACCCACATGCCGTCTCGAGTGACCAGCCGCATAGGCCCTTGTCACAAAATCATCTTCACAGTAAATGCATTTAAATCTTTTCGTTCCGGGTTTCAGGTGGGTCTTCAAGTGGGCATCTAATTTTGATTTGTGCATGATGTCAGGGCACACACCACACTCAACGGGTAACTTGTCAGCCTCCTTGTCATCTGACACCACAGAGAATTCCACAATCGGTGCACCATCTTCCTCATCGTAGTCCACAATCTCGGCACAAATACCATCAAATAGTAAGAATTTCTTTGGCACTTTGGGTACATTCAAACGCTTTCGCTTCTTCTCCAACTCCGACCATGGCAAATACGTTTGGGCAGGTGTTTTAGTTTCAACTTCGACAACTTCTTCATGCTGATACGTTTCCAACTGAACACCAGCGTCCGGATCATGGTCGTCCATTTCATCGTGTACCTCTTCGACAAACATCATTTGACCATCTTCACCAATCATGACGGTGTCTCCATGATCTTCAACAATTTCATGTCCCTCACCATCGCCCAGCACAATGATTTGCGATGAATCATCTTCCAAATCCTCGCCATCGGCCAACACAACATAGCCATTGTCAATGGTGATGTACTCGTCTTCAACGATGGATTCAGTTTCATCACTCATTTCGTGGATATTCAAAAAAAATCACAAAAATCACCGATGTTTTTTCGGTAGCCGAAGGAAAAAATTACCAACGCTGTTGACGAAGTGAACGTTTGCAAGGGATATGTTCACTGAACTGAACTAAAGGAACCTGGGCAGTTCTTTTATTTATTTTGTTCCTTAATATCATTAAAATGTTTGGTGTTTCTTTTAGTATGAATACAAGGAAGGCAAGTATTAAATATTATAAAAATCTAATATTTATTATTTTTCTGAGACACATTTGGTAACATTTATTCCCCTTAAAATGGAATTTTTTGGAAAAAATGAAAATTTTCACAATTATCAGAAATTATAATTTAATGTTCGAAAATGTCAACTGATTTTATTTTTTTCCATAATTTGGTAATAGTTAATCAATATAAATGGGAATTCCCAAGACATTTTATTTTGAGAATGGGAGAATGATTTATTTAGACTAATATCCATGGCAGAAGAATACAGGTATATGCATCAACGCTTGGGAACATTGATATGTCAAAAAAATTTAAATGTTTTTTTTCAAATATAAGTAGATTTTTATATATTTTCTTATACTACGTCATTTGGAGGCCATTATAATTCGCATTTTTTAACAATTTTTACAAATTTAAATAATTTTTCATTCAACATTTTCAATTCGAAAATTGGTTTGACAGTTCATTGTCCCCAGCAGCTGTGTCCTGTGTACCATGGTAATATCTTTGCTTGTTTTCTGCATCCATATTCTTTTCTGGTATATACGTGAAAGGCAAGTTAAAATGAAAACAAAAAAAAAAAAAAATAAGGTGCAAGTAAATTTGCCTACTCTAAATCGGGTTTCTTTCATTCCATTTATTTATATGTTTAGTGGGTTTAAATTGTCAATTTAAAGTACGTTTACATAGAAAACTTTAAAATGAATTTGCCTATGAAAAGCATACGAAAAATTTATTGTCGGCAGGTGATAACAACGAATTAGTGAAAACTCTTGCAAATGTCGCCTCAGTAAAATGTTCTAATTGCCTTCCCAGAAAAATAAGACAAAGGGATAATAATATTAAAAAGAACCTAACCAATTGGTATGCGGTAATAAAGTACAAGTCTGACGCACAACAAATTCCGAGGTTATATAGAAATTACGGACATAGAAACATAGCAATTAATTAATTTTCTCATAGGAATTGTGCAATTTTTTTACGCGTCCGAAAAAGGGAAGGGAGTCTTTTTGTTTTACTAGATCTTTGGGTGCAGGAACGGCTTTTGGTTTGCTAAATTTTAAAAATAGCCACCACAACGAAGCCCTGTTAGAAGAATACATGTAAACTTGGACTTGGAAACATTGATTTTCGAAATGTTTTTTTTTTCGAAAATTAGCAGATTTTTATAATTTTTCGTATACGACGCCAATCTGAGGTTGCAATGATGTATTGATGTGAATGTATTTTTCAAAAATTTTTACAAATTTTAATAATTTTTCATTAAAAATGTTCAATTTCAAAATTGGTTTGATAATTCATTGTCACAGCAGCTGTGTTGATCTGACTACCTGTATTCTTCTACCATGAACGAAGGCTAGAATAAATCAATTAAGGTGAGAATACATACATACGACAGGCGGTAACAACGAATTAGTGAAAACTCTTGCAAATGTTGCCTCAGTAAAATGATTTCATATTGCGTCCCCAGAAAAATTAGATAAAGGGGTAATAATCATCAAAAATAACCTAACCAATTGGTATGCGGTAATAAAGTACAACTCTGACGCACAACAAATTCCGAGGTTATACAGAAATTACGGACATAGAAACATAGCAATTAATTAATTTTCTCATGGGAATTATGCAATTTTTTACGCGTCTGAAAAAGGGAAGGGAGTATTTTTGTTTTACTAGATCTTTGGGTGCAGGAACGGCTTATTGTTTGCTGAATTTTAAAAATGGCCACTTCAACGAAGCCATGGTAGAAGAATACATGTAAACTTGGACTTGGGAACATTGATTTTCGAAATGTTTTTTTTTTTCGAAAATTAGCCGATTTTTATTATTTTTCTTATACGACGCCAATCGGAGGTTGCAATGATAAGAATTTTTAACAAATTTCAATAATGATTCATTAAATATGTTCAATTTCAAAATTGGTTTGACAGTTCATTGTCCCAGCAGCTGTGTTGATGTGACTACCTGTATTCTTCTACCATGAACGAAGCGCAGAATAAATCAATTAAGGTGAGAATACCTAAAACCATGGTACAATAAGGAGGAGGAATAGCTTCGTAAAACTACAGAAATACAGCCCTGAGGCTATGCCAGCATCCTGTCAGACTCATTACATGCAATAAGTTTCCATTTTTTCATATTTCTCTTCATTGTTAAAATAAATTAAATAGCGCAAAAAATTAATGAAATTACTGGATTTGCGCTCAAAAATATTATCTAAACGGTTCAATCTTTCAATTTCATGGTTAAACTGGTTAATAGCTTTAATGCGCGAGCAATCTACGTGTCTTCCAATCATTGGTTTTGAAAATATTTTGTTTTCATTTTTTTTAAACAATAAATACATACACAAAATTGCCAGAAGACGGGCACACATAGAAAAAAATTTTAATTGGAATTGTAATTGGTAGCTCTGCCTTACCTTTTTATTGTACCATGCATAAAACGGTTTTTGGACTGGCTTAAGCTGGCCATAGACGAACGATTTGTTGGTGTGATTTGCAAATTTATTGCTGCGATTTATTGCATATCGTTTCTCCACACACGCTCGAACAAATCATAATTCGGCCGACGTTGAAGAGTAAGCATATGCTACGAAGCGGATGATGTTCATTTTGTGTTTGAACTTCGGTTTGTGCTTCTATTTGAATTTTGTGGCAGAAAATTTTTTATTTAACAATTGGTTTTTTCTGTTGATAGGAAACTTAAAAAAACATGTGCGACGATGCAGTGGCTGATGCAGCTGCGCTTTTAATTATATATACATGTTTCGACATGGAAAATAAAAAACAAGAAAAGAAAAAAATCGAAAAAAAAAGAAAAAGAAAATGGAGTGAAGAGTGGCTGCTCGAAAGAAAAAAGCATTCCCATGTAGCAACGCTCAAAAATATGGAAATGCTTACTCCAAGGGATTATAAAAATTTTCCATTTTGTTACGAGTTCTTCCCATGATTTTTGTTTTTCTAATTTGTCTTTATATTTTTCACTTTTTGTTTGCCAAATGGCATTTTCATTTTTTAACACATCAAAAAATTCTATCATAAAGTCTTTGCTTGCCATTTTTTGTGTGCACTACATGACCTTTCGTTACAATGGTTGAAGAGCAACTGAAATGGCAAAATGGCTTAAAATTTGCGCAGTAGCCCACACACGTATGATTTGTTTGCCAACAAATTGCAATTTTTTGAAAATTTTCAAAAACTTGCAATTAGTTCGCAATCTACCCCACAGACGTAAAAACGCGACCACAAACCCAACAAATTGCTCGAATTTATCGTTCGTCTATGGCCAGCTTTAAGTTATCGGCTGACTTCTTCGTATAAGAACAAAGAAGTTTAGGTAGCCGATGACTGAAGCCAGTCAAAAAAACGTTTTATGTTTCTCATCTTTTCAACGCATATGTAAATGTAGCATTAGCTTTAATTGACCAATGTCGATTTTCAGATCCCTATGATAATGTCAAAAGTCAGCTTACATATCCCTACTCTTCTGCAGGCACAAAACATCCAAGCACCAGAGGAACACTGCGCCGGGAACCCAGGAAACCCAATGTCTTCGATACCAGCAATATGTCGAACCTGTCTCGATCCAGAGGGTCGATATTTCCAAATTTCCGATTATGTGGATGAGAGCTTGAGTATCATCGAAATTCTAGATGTAATTGTGCCCCAAATTCGTATCATGGAAGAAAAGCACTCTGAATTTGCGCCACTTATATGCGAGGAATGTTTGGAAAAGTTGTTGCAGTCTTACAGATTTCAACAGCTTTGTATTGATGCTGACAACCAACTAAGGAAATTATTTGAAGAGGATGCAGAGAGCCAGGAAATGCAGATGGATACCAAAACGCCAATAGAATTTTTGGTAGATGAAAAGAACGATGTTAAAGTGGAAATTGAATATGTAATTGAAGGTAGCGAAGTTAAGGACATAGTAAATCCAAATGTGGAGACCTGGTAAGTAGGAATATTGAAATTATTTCATACTCAACTAAATTGAAAATTTGTTCTTTAGTATAGAGTTGGCAAATGGCTCCAATGAAGAAGAAACAGAAGAGGAACATGTTGAAGTCGTTGAAAATACTGAGGAAATAATTGACATCTTGGAATCAAATACACCTCCAATGTAAGTTCCAATCGATTCCATAGACAGAAGAAAATACAATTTTTTATTTTTAGCTCCGACACACAACATTTCTGCAGGAACTGCGATAAGAAATTTGAAAGCTTATCCTGTTTCAAAGCTCATTGTTGCTCGAAACCCGTAGTCCGTTCACTTTTCAATTGTGAAATGTGTCATATCACTTTTCCCAATGAAAAAACTTACAAAGCCCACATACTTGAGCACGAGGAAGAGGAAAACAATAACATCAATGTTGATAATAATGAAAATGTCCTGGGAGAAGATGAAGTAGAAGTTGACATAGACCAATTGATAACCAAAGAAGCAGAAGAGGAGCACTTAAAGGAGGACACAGCTGAAGAGGAGGTTGGAACAGAGACAATCATAGATAATTGGTCTGATCTTAAGTGAGTAAAATTTAAATACCATCCAAACTGATTTTTTTTTCTAAAAAATGTGTATTTTTCTTCCGTTACAGTGACAATAGTGATGAGTATACGATCACAAATGAGCAAAACTCTTCCGCAGGAGACTGTGAAGAAGCCCTGATAGAAAAGTAACTAAAACTGAATTATAAATTTTATACAATAGCAACATAATATCTCCATCCCTTCATTTAACAGGGCAAGCGATAAAAATCGCCGTAATTGTCGCTATCCATGTGAGGTGTGTGGAAAAATTTATGATCGTATATCGCGTCTACAACGACACAGCCGAGTCCATTCGCTGCATAAAAAGTATGAATGTGAAATCTGTAAGGCACGCTTCTCCACTGCCAGTTACCTGAAAATCCACCAAGATAAACATTTACAACAGGACCATGCTAACGAAACACCTCCGCCCGGTGGCTACAAATGTCCCGATTGCCCAAGACGATTTGAAAAATTAACTGCCTTATCCGGACATCGACGTTCACATTCCGATAAACAGCAGATAACCAAGAAATTACTCTGCAACTACTGTCAACGTAAGTTTCTATCAGAGAAAACCCTAACGGAGCACATACGTAACAAACATCCCGATGAGAAATACATGTGTGATCAATGTGATCGTACATTTGTCCTGCACTCGAAACTCATAGAGCATCTTAGCGTACATCGCGAGCTTATTTGTGATATTTGCCAAAAGGAGTTTGCCTTCGAGAGTCTGCTAAAGGAACACATGCGCACTCACAGTGGAGAATGTCCATTTTTGTGTCCACAGTGCGGCAAGACATTTAAATGTGGTGGTAATTTACGTCAGCACATAGAACGCCACTCGACCGTTAAGAGACATGCCTGCCCCAGTTGTTCAAGACGTTTCAAATGTCGCACCGACTTGAAGAAACACATGTCCACACATCAGGGGGTGAAGAATTATGTCTGTGATATCTGTGGTATTCGCTTTACCCGAGCATTTAGTATGGAACAACACAAACGTTTGCATATGACGAGTAAGTTGACTCATTCGTGCGATCTGTGTAATATGTCGTAAGTTTTGCTAATTTTGTAAATATGTAATAATTAATAAACAATAATTTTCATTTTGTTTGCAGATTTAATACCGAGACAAATTTGAAGCGACATGTGCAACAAGTACATCCTAATGAAAATGGGAATTAGTATGGAAAATTGCAAATGAAGTAAATAGTTAAACAAATATATTTGTGAATATAAAAGTAATTAATATTTCGCTGTAACTGTAATTTTGCATATAAGTTTATTTTTGTAAATTGTAAAAGGATATTTAAGTAGTGCTTCTTAAACTCCTCCGTTCTTTTACATTAAAAGCCAGCCAGAAAAGTCCTTTGTACTTTGTTTTTAGTTACACTTCTTTATTGCTTTAATAAGTTTCCAAAAAAGATACAGTTTTTTCTATAATCTCGTAATTAATAAACACCTCTGGTGTAAACGTGTCAACTTGCTTCTAATTAGCTATTTTCCGGCATAAATTGGTTATGGCAACTCTGTTACAGGTGTTTTCATATGATTATTCTTCTTTCTGCTCAATGTCAATTATCGATCTAACGAACACTATGTTGCCATATCGCTTCTAGGTTCCAGTTAATGAATCTTCCAGCTGATTGCGTATACCCCATGTCTTATTCGTAAACTCTTCCATTTCTCTTTCGCTCAGCATTCGTAAACTCTGTCATTTTGTTTTCTGCCTATGTTTATCAGGTGATCTCTTTTAACATTCTTATTCGACTCGTTGGGAACGTTTTTCGGTTTGGGTGGATATAGAGGAAATACGGACGCAGATTGCCCAAGTCCCACAAGTCCAACGCAGTAAGACTCCAGTCGAACCTTAGCCATGTCTACAATCCTATTGGGACGCATTTGTCGCACCTGCCTGCTGGAATCTTCGACAATGCACAAATTACTCGACACCAGAGGGGACCAGGCATTGCCAATTGAACAAATGCTGCAGCAAACTGTTCCAAACTTCGATTTGCCTCTGGATGATGTGGACATATGCCTGCCTGTAGAGATATGTGAAGACTGTTTGGAAAAACTAACAATAGCCTATGGCTTTCAGCAAATGTGTTTCGACAGCAATGAGAAATTGAGAAGTCTCATACATCAACAGCATGATGGGGAGGTGGAAGATGTTGTAATGGTGTCACATGTTGATAACGAATGTGACAAGGAAGATCATTTGAGCTTTGCTGGGCCAGGGGCACTTAAATTGGAACCCGGGGAAGAATTTTTACAAAAAGCCTTGGAACCTTGTGTTGAAACACAATTAGACGGCGACAAAGAGGAGGTGGTAGAAATACACAATTTGGATCAAATGAATGGTTCCGAAAATGGTGAGATTAAATTGGAGATAGAAGATTTCGAATGTGGAACAAGTGATTTTGGAGATTTTCACAATGCTGCTGAGGAGGATGATGACGAGTACTGGCCACCACACAATGAGGCAGAAGATACCGACAATAGCGCGAATGAGAAACACAAGGAAACCCCGGAAAATCCCAAGACCCGAAAATATAAAAAACGTTCGACATCAAATGATGCTAGTGATAAAATTTGTCCGCATTGCAACAAGCTTTTCAAAAAGAGAAATTTACTAAAGCGACACATGACTGTGCATAATGAAGAGTATGAATTTGTTTGCGATGCTTGTCAGTATCGCTTTCCTAGCGAAAAGTTACTTAAAGTTCATATATCGTATAAACACAATCGAGGTGTAACATTAAGCGTGTCCGGTGGGCCTTATCCATGCCCGGATTGTTCGATGGTATTTCAACAAACTCGGGCATTGGCTGCCCATCGAGTGGTACATGCCCAGAGGGATTTCAAGTGTCAGGTGTGTGATGTTATTTTGAAAACAATGTCGGCGGTGACACGCCACATGAACCACAAACATCCCGGCGTGCTGCCATACAAATGTGAAATGTGTGATCAAGGCTTTCCCGTTGAATCTCACTACAAGGATCACATAAATTTACACAAAGGATTTAAGAAACACAAATGTGAACAATGTGATAAGAGTAAGTAACCACATTCTATAGCTTCTTAAAATTGTTAATATTTGTTTTTTGTCCCGTTAAGGTTTTCCCAACAGCACTGCCTTAAAAGATCACGAAAGATCCCATACCGGCGAATGTCCTTATCTCTGTTCGCATTGCGGCAAATCCTTTAAAACTTCCAATATTTTACGGCAACATTTGCAACGGCATGGTGAAAAGAACTTCCAATGTCCCGAATGTCCAATGCGTTTCTATGTCAAGGTCAATTTGCAAAAACACATGTGCACACATTCCAAGGAGAAACCATTTGTTTGTGATACCTGTGGTTCATCATTTACCCGGGCAGATTCGCTAAAGACCCACAGGTTTAAGCACACCGGAGAGAGGCCTTTCAAGTGCGAAGAGTGTAATATGAGGTAAAGGAACAATGTTATTTAAATTGTCCAAACTAATGGCACATTTCCCCCTTAGCTTTGTTTTCAAACGCCATTTGCTACGCCACAAAATCACCCACACCGGCGAAAAGAAATACATGTGTACCTATTGTGATCGAGCCTATGCAGCAAGTGGGGACTTGGTGAAACATTTGAGAACTCATTTGGGTGAGAAGACATATCTCTGCGATGAGTGTCCCCAGGCGTTTAAATATCATTTGGATTTGAGAGATCACAAGAATCAACATTACAAGGAGAAGCATGGTATGGCGGCAATGCAAGTAGAGGATACGGAACCTACAGAGCTTGATCATAGTTAAAGAAAAAAATTGTATTTCTGAGAATATATTATTTTCTTATTTAAATAAATATAATTTAGTTTTGTATAAGAACAATGTATAAATATAGTATGTTATAGCAAAAGCATAGTGCTCGGTGGAGGTTATTTGGCAGTTCGGGTCATATTTTTGCAAGAAAAATCAGACATTTCATTAAATTTTGCGCCATTAGAACCATTTTAAAAATGAAGAAAAATATCAAATAAGAGAAAACAACAAAGGAAGCGGGCGGCATAGCCTCAGGATGTATTTCTGTAGTTTTACAAAGCTGTTCCACCTCCTTACTGTACCATGGTTTTGACTAGTGTCTCCACAATTGAATTTAAAAGTAGAAAAATACAAATATGTATTGAAAATATCAACAATTTGCGAAACCTAGGTATTCCCTGCCTTACCCCCTGGTAAACATTACCATCGTTCTCCACTCATAAACAAACGTTGTTTTTATAAAAACAACAATAATGGGATTTTGCCTGACGATTTTGCAACATCAAAATACTATGGTATCCCAAACAAGCAAGCCAAACACTGTTCTATTTCAGAAATTAAAAATATCTCTATGCACTTACACTGCCTTTACACGGTGACATTTTTTAACCATGCCATTTTTTTTTGTTGGTAAAAGGTGTAGAGAGACAAGGATAGAAGAAAAAATGGCACGATAAGCCACCGCACAGGGTTACATGCCATTTTCTTTGCATTTCTCTTTTTGCTTCTTCCGAATTTTTTATGATTTTGACATTTCATATCGTTTCTTTATTGTAATTTTTGATGCGTTTCTTTTATTGTGATGTTATGTTTTTAGTGATTGAATTGTATAGTGAATTATATGAAAATTAAAAAGTAAAGTATTAAAAAGTAAAAACGAAAGTTAAAATAAAAGTTAATAATGCAATATTTAACACCTCAATAACTTTTTCCATCATTTCTTCTTTAGATTCACACATTTAATTTTAAATCACTTCTTTATAAATATCTGTTACAAACAATTAGCTCTATACGAAATACTGAATAAAATAAAATGTCAGAAAAAATGTCAAGCACTATTATCGTAAAATGCCACCGTGTAAAGGCGCGAAGATTTACGCAGAAATTTTAAAAGAGAATTGATAAAAATGCCAGCTAAAAATTGCACCGTGTAAAGGCAGTGTTACACTGCCTTTACACGGTGACATTTTTTAACCATGCCATTTTTTTTGTTGGTAAAAGGTGTAGAGAGACAAGGATAGAAGAAAAAATGGCACGATAAGCCACCGCACAGGGTTACATGCCATTTTCTTTGCATTTCTCTTTTTGCTTCTTCTGAATTTTTTATGATTTTGACATTTCATATTTTTGATGCCTCTCTTTTATTGTGATGTGATGTTTTTAGTGATTGAATTGTATAGTGAATTATATGAAAATTAATCGGAAGTATTAAAAAGTAAAAAAAGAAAGTTAAAATAAAAGTTAATAATGCTATATTTAACACCTCAATAACTTTTTCCATCATTTCTTCTTTAGTTTCACACATTTAATTTTAAATCACTTCTTTATAAATATCTGTTACAAACAATTAGCTCTATACGAAATACTGAATAAAATAAAATGTCAGAAAAAATGGCAAGCACTATTATCGTAAAATGCCACCGTGTAAAGGCGCGAAGATTTACGCAGAAATTTTAAAAGAGAATTGATAAAAATGCCAGCTAAAAATTGCACCGTGTAAAGACAGTGTTACTCATTCCGTCTAATAGCGTCTTTAGCAATTGATAAACTGCTGTTATCGTACTACTGACATGCAGACAAAAGTCGATTTATATAACCCTAATATAGGACATTTGAATTGTTTTGATTTCTCCATTACCGGGTTTTTTCCCATTGACTTGCAATTATCCCTGTGTAGGATATAAATGATCCAATAAATATAAATTATAACAATCAAGAGATTAAATGCATAAAGAAAACATTTCCATTTAGATGTAAACAAAGATAAGAATTGAAACCGGTTAAAGGATAGTTCGAAGGGAACTAGTTCCTTTATACTGCTGTTTGTTCTTCTGAAAGCGCGCCCCTGATAGAGTGAAAGAAATTGAACTAGTTCACTTGGCTCTGCTCAATGAATATTTTCATTGAAGTAGTTGAAGCCGACAGAACACGTAAACAAAATAAAAAAATCTTTTAAATCCTTATAATCTTTTAAATTAAGATTATTCCAAGTGTTATACACTTCCATTCTTGTATATAATTAGATCTAAGGTAGGTTACAGATTAGCAGCGCCTGGAAATTGCCAAAATGTGTGTATAGCCGGTGACTCTATGACATTCATTATGCCTTTCCATTTCAGATTTAATTAAATGAATAACTAGTTCCAACCGGGAAGAAGTAGACATGTCAGCTACATTAAGGTATCGTGGCAATAAAAACAATCTCATAGAGATTGCCAAAACCTTGGACGCCTTCAAAAAAGTTCCAGAGAAATACACAGAGACAACAGAAATTGGTGGAACACGTAAGTAGACTACTGATCAGTAAATCGATAAGCAAGATCTTTGTGATAACTTGAATTGAAGGCAAGAACTTGTATATTAATCAGATTCCACTTCTTCATTACAGTTTCTCTAATCAGTAGACTATTGATTGTATTTTTGATCTACAAAGAGATCCAATATTACCAAGATGCCAATTTGAAATATGAATTTGTGCCGGATACAGAAACTGAAAAAGTTCAAATGCATGTCGATATAACTGTAGCCATGCCATGTGGATCTTTATCGGGCGTAGATTTAATGGATGAAACCCAGCAAGATGTCTTTGCCTATGGCACCTTGCAGCGACAGGATGTGTGGTGGAAAATGGACATTGAGGCGAGAGAAGAATTTGAGCGACAACAACATTTAAACCATTTTCTGCGTGAACAGTATCATTCGGTAGCTGATGTTTTATTCAAAGATGTGATTAAATCACATGAAGTTACTAGCCAGCCCGAGAAAGAACATAGGGGACATGGTCTGCCTGATGAGAAATATGATGCTTGTCGTTTGCATGGTACTTTGGGAATACACAAAGTAGCGGGGGTTCTACACATGGTGGGTGGGGCTATGCCAGTCGTCGACATGATTGGAGATCATTTGATGATTGGTTTCCGGCGCCTACCGTCGAATTTTACACATCGCATTAATCGTTTGAGTTTTGGCCAGTACTCGAAACGTCTAATACAGCCCTTGGAGGGTGATGAGACTTTTGTGGCCGATGAATCGACAAGGGTACAATATTTTCTTAATATTGTACCCACTGAAATACACACAGCCTTTTCAACCATAAACACTTATCAGTATTCGGTTACGGAAAATATAAGAGTTTTAGGTATGTAAAAAATATGAGTAGTTTATATGTAATTATTCCAATTTTTATTATTGCTCTCAGATGGCGATGGCAGTTCCTATGGTTCTCCGGGGATTTATTTTAAATACGACTGGTCGGCATTGAAAATTATTGTGCGCACCGATCGTGAAAATATTATTAATTTTACTATACGATTATGTTCCATAATTTCGGGTATTATAGTAATATCAGGTAAGTTCTTTATTTCAATGAGAAAAATCGAAATCAATAAATAAAAATATGTCTTTACAGGAATATTGAATTTCATTTTAGTTTCGGTACAAAAGAAACTACTGTCCATATTTGCTCCCCAGCTGTTGCACATAAGACTGAAAGAATCTCCCGAGAATACGCCCTTGGCAAAACCTCATCTGTTTAAGGAAGCTGTTGCACCACCAACTCAATTGGTCGTTAGCAATGACTTGATAACCAATGCCAATATAATGGCAACCAAAGTGGAGGCAATTATTCCTGCACTTAACAAAACAAATGAACAATAATTTAATTGTAGAACATATCTGTAAGCATTCCAAAGAATCTCTTGTTTTATTATTTAAAATAAATGACGTTTTTTCTAAATAATTCATATGATTGGGTGGTATTCGAATGCAGAATGTTTATTAAAGGAATGCCTGCAGAATTCCTTGAAAATATCACTTCGTACCCATTAACTTAGGTTTCTTTTTTAAAGTATTGATTATGCTACTCCCAAGAGTGAAAAGCGAGCATAGCTTTGGCATTGAGAAACACAGGTTTCTTTTTATTTTAATAAACTGTCCATACGATTACTCTTAAAAGCTTTATTATTATTATTTAAATAAAAAAACAACAAAATATAAACATTAATTTTTTCATGTTCACTTTATTATCATTCATTCTTTAGCAAACTTCCATCTACTTGCTCATATGTCCCCCTACGCCGGTAGCCACCACAGGCAATTTTCAAAATCTCCATAGACGCCGATAATGTGTTGTTGACATCGGCCTGAGTGCCCAGACTGGGATTTACTTCGACCAAATCAAAACCTTGTACTCGCTTTGTATCACACAGTGTTTCAACGACATAGATGCCTTCACGCAACGACATGCCACCATAGACAGCTGTTCCAGTACTGGGAGCAATTCTACTATCCAAGGCATCAATATCAAAACTGATGTGGATTTTATTTTTCACGTCCAGGGCATCCAAGGTCATTTCCATAATTTTCGATATGCCAAATTTATCGATGGACTGGAAAGGAATAAATTAAGGAGATTAAAACTAAAGGGAATAAAATGGATATGTATGTGTGTATGTATAGTCTATCCATTTATGGGGAAGTCCTACTACTTCTCACTGAAAGATAGGTAAATAAAAAGCCATCTTAAGTCCTTCATCACATTTTCTATAGCATCTAAGCTCAGAAATACCAGTAACCAATTGATTCTGGTATGATGAATCAATGTTATTCTCATTAGCCTAACGAACAAGCCTTGAGTTCAGGAAAAGTCTTAGGTGTTTGACCCCTAATGTATCTGTGTATATGGGAAAACTATCAAGATATTACAGACGATATTCCTCTACAAGAGATATAAAAAAAGGAACCACAATGGGATCAACAGCATTTTTATTTGTTTTTCTACTATTGTCTAGAATTAAACATGTTTTTTTTT